TTTTTTTTTTTTTTTTGCTTTGTCTCATTTTATTGCTTATTGATGCATGAAATTCTGGCCTTCTTTATTTTTTTCCTTGTCCTTCCGTTGAGTTCCAGTTTCATACATTGCATGATGTACCATTGGATCTCAAATTTTGTCTTCCTTTGTTATTTGACCTGGAGAATATGTCTAATTTTAGGATGCGAAGAAGGGTGTTTTGTTCATGGACTTTCCTCCAGTTCTTCAGCTTCAGTTGAAGCGCTTTGAGTATGATTTTATGAGGGACACAATGGTTAAGGTTAGTAATTAAGGCTTTAGTCATGTTTCACTTGTTGCTTGTTTGAGTTCAATGTCTTTCTTTTTTTTTTTCTTTTCTTTTTGTGGTTTCCGCTGTCAATTTATGCTGGCATGTAGTCAGTTTTTTAGGTGAAAATTCCAATATTGCTTCATGGTTGCAGATAAATGACCGATATGAATTTCCGTTGGAACTTGATCTGGATAGGGACAACGGAAAGTATTTGTCGCCAGAAGCAGATAGAAGCATACGGAACCTCTATATGCTTCACAGGTTATTTTCCATTCTCTGACATAGTCTCTCTTACCTTGTGACATATGCTTATACATCCCCACTTGTGGCGTACAATTGAAAATTTTAAATAGAAGTGCAGAAACACATGTAAAAATTGCATTGCATCACATGTCAATTACCAGAAATTAGCTTGCTCATTGGAAATAATAAATGAGCTCACTCATTGAAAATCATATACATCAGCTTTTCAGACTGCCCCCAGTTTTTTCATTGCTCATGTTGGTGCATATACAAATTTTCAGTTGCTAACAATGTCCACTTGAGTTGTTGGTTAACTGCTTATCCTCAAACTTGGAATGTAAGTAGATCTATCTAACTCAGTTCTGCCCTTTGCTAATATTGATATCGTCTGATGTACCTTGTTAATTATCAATTTCCAATTTCATGGACACTGTAATTCCTTTTCCCCGATTTTACCCCCTAGCTTGGTGGCAATAGCTTGTTCTATCTGCAAACGAGAACATTAGCTGACAATATATTTTATGCATCTTCTTCTCTTAATTGTGCATATTTGTGATTTATTTGCATAATATTGTGTACCTTTGAAATGCATTCACATGAATATTTGGGTTTGTGATCTTGTGTTATATGGATTTGGAACAATATTTTATATGGGTCCAGTCGGTGGTAAGACCTTTAGGCATATCTGTCATTTTATAACTTGCTTTCACATATCCTTTGCCTTTAATATTCTCTTTTCTTCTGTTCTCTATCGTCCAACAGTGTTTTAGTGCATAGCGGTGGGGTGCATGGCGGCCATTATTATGCTTTTATCAGGCCAACACTTTCCGATCAGTGGTATGTGCCTTACTTCAGCCAAAAGTATTTCCCTTATCCTCCCGCCATGAGCATATATTTTTCAGAGTTTGAAGGGAAACAAAAGGATGGTGAAGTTTCTGGGTCATTTATGATGATGACTGGACAAACATGAATAAGTTTCTGAACCTATAGTCCATGTAACCAGTCATGGGCCTAATCAGTCGCATATCGGCCTTGTGCATGTATCTATAGATCTATATGTATTATCTCAACAGACTGGACTTCACATTTCTTGTGTTCTATCATTCATCTTTTAGGTACAAATTTGATGATGAGAGGGTCACCAAAGAAGATGTGAAGAGAGCATTGGAGGAGCAGTATGGTGGTGAAGAAGAGGTAGTATTTCTGCCTTTTTGTTTCACTTTGTGTGTCTAAGTTTGTGTTGCTCTTTTTTATTGCCTTGCAGTTGCCACAAACGAATCCAGGGTACAATAATACTCCGTTCAAATTTACAAAGTACTCAAATGCATACATGCTTGTGTATATAAGAGTGAGTGACAAAGATAAGATAATATGCAACGTGGATGAGAAGGATATAGCAGAACATCTAAGGGTAAGGTTACACTATATAGAAGATATTTAATAGTATCGAATTTAATTTTACGTAATCAATGCCACTGCTTTTTTCAGATAAGACTGAAAAGGGAACAAGAAGAGAAGGAAGACAAGAGAAGATACAAAGCACAGGCCCACCTTTACACTATTATCAAGGTAGTCTTTACTTGTGTGCACATTTTTGTAAATTGATCACTACATTTCCGATAAATGGAATGCGGAAGCTATTTATCATATTTGCAGGTTGCTCGAGATGAGGATTTGAAGGAGCAGATTGGAAAGGACATATATTTTGATCTTGTTGATCATGATAAAGTCCGTAGCTTTAGAATCCAGAAGCAGATGCCTTTCAACCAATTTAAGGTAGAGTTAGCTGAAGTTTTTGTTTGTTATGGACACTTCTTGTGGAGGAAATTCTTTCATTGTTCTTGTTGGTTCCTTTTCTAATCATTCATTTACCATGTTTTTCGTTATCTTGTTGATATTTGTTTTTTTTGGTTTAGTAAGTTTCATACTTAAGTAGTTGCTTCATCTTAGAATATTACCTGGCCTTCATTTTCTTTCTTTATTTTGTGGTTTGTTGTGTCAAATTGGTACATGAATTTAGTTCTTTGGAGTTGAAGTTCAATTTTTCGTAGTTTACCTTTTACAATAAATGATAAATAAACAAAACCATAGACCTTTTAGAGGTATATTTAGTGGGGTGATCTAAGGATTTGTATCATCTTTGTAGTCTGTTTTGATTATCACTCTTGATAGTGTGGTTGAGGAAAGATCATATATTTGCTGCCAGCTTATTGGCGTTGAGATAAAAGGTGCCTCACATAAAACCCGAAATCGAATTGTACATCCAAAACAGTCCTAAGAAGACATGATCCCAAGCCGATACTTGGGGCTCATGTTCTGTGAAACTATGAATCCGTAACTGGATAAAAAAAAAAAGTAGGTCATACACATATTTGGAAATTGCCTGATCTGAAGTGGTCTATAGTATAAAGATGCTTGCTTAGCCTATAGAGACTAAGTGATGACTAGAAAAACCATCTATAATTTCTCCCAATGGAGCCACAATACAAATGAGAAACAAGAAACTTTGTTCCCTGATTTTAAGCAAGGTTAACAACGAAAGTATTGAATCTTGACCTAAACTGATAAACAAGTGGACTCATGTAACTTTGACAGACGACCTTTTTGTTTAGTCATGATGTTTGATGCCATACGAAGTCTGTTAGGATCCGGGTAGGATTATATGTTGACAGTATTCTTAATCCCAGGTTTCTTTTGCAAATTTGGACGGGATAACTAGCTTGTCCGAGCCATAAAAACTATCCTCTATTGTTCAACTTGGGGATTATATCCTACTTTAGTTTGTTTGTGGATGGTGAAAACCCTTGGGATAATTATCTGCCCATCGAATCGCTCTTTTGGGAAGTTAGAGAATGTAATTATATAATGTAAATAACACCAGCACCCTTGCAATTAACTAAAGGACCCTTGTGGGCCCTTTGCTTAGGTATTTAATTTGCCGGAGAAGTCGGAAAACCCACCCAATTCCAAGGTCTCCAACCACAGGTAAAGAATCCCCAATTCAATTTAAATTGTATATTTCACGGCCTCAGAGTAAGAGAGAGCCAGCAATGCAGCCCATTGCTGCTGTAGTACCTCCTAAAAAATCTCCCATCTCGAGCTTGTCGACTTTCTGACCTACACGTGCAGCTTGCCTTCCTCTCCAACCCTAGCCTCCTTCTGCAAGGGCTTTTTCCTGACAGCGACAGGCGAGAAGTATGAATTGAACCTGAAAAGATATAATCAAGCCCGCCATGTCCAGAAACTGCTCAGCGACCTGCATCTCGGCGCCGCTGTTTTTACAACAATCTGGACACTTTTGGAAAAGTCGTTCCCTGCCATCTAAGAGAGGGAACACTGGAGGGTGCTTTGGGAGCTTGGAGAGACAATAGGGTTATGGACCATTTGAGGGAGCTACATGAGGATAAAAGAGACCAGGCGGCGAGGAGGGCGAAGATAATGAGCTTCTGCAGAGTGTCAGCTCGATGAAGGAAAGCGTCGTGTTGTATGGTAGTATGGGTCAGTGGTGAAGATGAAGTAGAATGAGAAGGGATGGTGAAAGAGTCGGTTCATTAATTAGGTTGAGGCCAGTGAAGTTCTTATAACCCATTGTATTAATGTTGGGATTGTTGTCGAGTATCAATCCTACCCCTTGGATCCATTCTTTAAAAAAATAAATAAAGAACAAGTCTCATGGGCTGGCCTTTTCCAATGGCCTTTTTATCTACGCCCCAAATGTGAAAATAATAGTGGTCAAATAATAAAAAATCCCATCAACCCTTATCACATTCCTCAAATGTATTCTCAAAATAATGCAATACAATTCTAAGGACAAATATTTGGGCAGGAGAAGATTAATGTACAAAAGAGACTTCTCGGTCAATTACTCATTCATCAATGGTTATCAAAAGAGATTAACCACCTAATATTATTCGTTGGGCTAGTTTATTCTAAGTTTTTGTGAGTTAAATTCCACTTAAATTCTTGGCTCATTCATTTCATTATGATTTATCGATTCTCTTGGATTCTCAAATACAATTAATGTAAGACTGAATGGTTTGTCCTTTTCCATTTCATTTATGGCTCATTAACATAACTAGTGTGTCTCAAATTATGAATTGAACAAAGACATTGGCTGACCAGTATGAGATAAATATACATATGGGAAGTTAAGTATATGCAATTAATGACTTCGGATGTATAAGTAATGATTATCTGAAAGGTTATTTTCATGTACCTTTCAACCATTTTTGCTTTATTTAGAATGTTTATCTTCGTCATTGACTTTACATCAGAAAAAAAAAAAATAAAAATGTATGCTTGAGTTAAGGTTGTTTTTCCTTGGGGTTAAATATGCTGAAAAAATGTTCTGGATACCTCTATGGTTAATGCGGCGTGTTGTTATATTGGGGTCCACCCTCTGTGTACCGATGTGCATGTACGTGCATCCGTGCAAGTACATCGTCCCATTCTTCCTGCCTGCGTCAGTGTACAACTGTACACGTGTACTGGTGCACGTGCAGGCATTAAATTTGTTCTTCATGTAGTAACCACTTCTGTTTGCTAATTATTTCTTTTTTTATCGGTTGTGAAATTCTAATAAATGCTGTGGTACTTTTATGAAGGAAGAAGTTGCCAAAGAATTTGGTATACCGGTTCAATTTCAACGCTTCTGGATATGGGCAAAAAGACAGAACCATACGTACCGTCCAAACCGTCCGTTGACACCTCAGGAGGAAGCACAAAGTGTAAATATATTGTTGCTTTCCTTTTCGTTAAGATCTCTAAGTAATGAGAGCCATCGTGGGTGTGCCTAACCTGCAATATGTTAGATACACATTGTTGATGTTTCAAAGTTTAAACAGATAAATAATATATACTAAGTCTGAAGGGTGTTTACCAGTTGGTGAAGGTATGTCAAACATATGTTACATTTGATAGAAGGTGAAAGATTCTGCTAATGCCAAATCATTGACTTTTCAATTCTGCTACTTGAAATCTAGCAACAAAGACTGTTGATGGATTTTAGAAATGCAAATTATATATTCAAGATTAAAATGCTAATAATATCAGAAATGCAACAGAATTGTACATGTGAGAAAAACGGAAAGACTGAGGAGTTACCATCATGTATATCATGTCTGCATGTGGATATCTTACTTTTGTTTCACGATTCTGATAATTTGTTGTCTGACTTGATATTAATGGGTTGAACCTCTTCAGATCAATTACACGTATTTTCGCTATGGAATATGCAGCTGCTTTTCCATATATTTCATCAACCTATTCTATTTCAGAAGGCTTAAAACCTTATCGTACTTATCTTTTGCAGGTTGGAGCATTAAGGGAAGTTTCCAATAAGGCCCATAATGCAGAACTGAAGTTGTTTTTAGAAGTAGAGTTTGGATTGGTATTACTTCACATTCTTGAGTCTTGTTCCAATATGGGAATTTTGATTATTCATGCATTAATGGTGTGATCTGGGTGATTATATAGGATTCACTCCCTGTTCCTCCACCAGAAAAAAATAAGGACGACTTACTGCTATTCTTTAAGCTTTATGATCCTGAAAAAGAAGAGCTTAGGTGCCTGCCCTTTCAATATAGTTACTAATGTTTCTGTATCATTTTTTTTTTTTTTT